CCCCTGCCTAAAACACTTGAGAATAAAAGCTTCACAATGGCCCCAAAAACCATCTTCTGCTCTCGGCGACTCCCGCAGAGGCAGCAGAACGCCCTGAAGTATGTGACGGAGGAGTGGGCCGGCATCGAGTACGAGCTGCTGCGGGAGAGGGGCCTCTGGGGCCCGCCCATCGGCTCCCACCTGGACAAGTTCCTGCTGGAGATGACAGAGGGGCCCTGCCGGATGCGCAAGAAGATGGTCCGTAACGACATGTTCTACATCCACTACCCCTACGTGCCCGACAGCGAGCCCGACGTCAGCACCCAGGTACACCGGCAGCTCCATGTCCCATAGCTGAAAACAGAGCCTCTGTAAGTGGAGAAGAAATGACAAGCTGCTATTGGCTCTGATACTCTGGGCCATTATGGTTAAACATACTGCAGTAGCAGCTCACATGAAATGAAATCGGGCCCCTGTGGGTTTGGCCAGAATCCATTTTCATTATGTCTGAGTTTTGTGGATGAACATGTTGGGCACAGGGTTACATTTGGCGGGAAGTTATTGATTTCATAGTAAAGTCCAGTAAGATCACAAATCTGAAGCATTTTAATAATAAAAATATTTTCTTCATTAAACATTTTGACCCTTAAAATACTACAAACATTTATATCATTTTCATGTGCACAACAGAATCTGAAGAGCAAACCTTTCTTGTGGAAGCAGCATTTTTTGTTAGCTTGCTGTGATCTCTCAGTAACTCATATTTTAGAGTATTACTTTCACAGTTTTAATCAACAGTTCAGCTGTCTCTCTTCAAGCCCCCAAAGAAATTAACTGTAGCCTCAGTTAATTGGAGGAGTATTTTCAGTATGTGATTAAACGTGGCTGCAGTGGGTCAGTCTAGCTGACATTTATATCTGAAAGCTTGGATTGACACTTGAATGAACTAGAGGGGATTGGAAGTCTCTCTCTGAAAGTGTGTTAATTTTATTTTTTCTCTACCTGCTCTTTGGGTTTCCATCTGTCCCCTTTCCAGGAAGTCGGCCTAAATGGTGCCTGATCATTTGACACTTGACTGGAAGAAACTCTCAAAATTAAAATTAAAATAAAAGAAAATTTCGAGTTCCCTCCACTTTTCTGAATCCAAAACCCATTTTCGTATGTTGTCATCTTTACTGTTACATGAAAATAGCAACAGTTGCTCATTTTTTAGTAATTAAATGGGGATGGAGGCCAGACAGCGTTTTGCTGTTATTTGGGCCGTCCTAATTCGGCTAGAGGGATTCCTGTGTTAATAATATAAGAATATTGTATCACATGCTGGATGTTTAGAATTAGAATTTACTGATCGGTGGTCATTGTTGACACAGCACACAGTGCACAACAATGAAACATGTCCACTGCATTTAACCCGTATGTGACAATGTGACATAGCAGGGGGCAGCTAATTCAGCGCCCGGGGAGCAGTGCTTGGGGGCAGTACCTTGCTCAGGGGATTCTCAGTGTGGCCTTGCTGGTCGGGGATTCGAACCAGCAATCTTTCAATTACAAGTCCGCTTCCCTAACCATTAAGCCACCACTGCCCACAGTTGACAGTAGGATTGCAGGAATACAAGTGTATATATGAATGTAAAGTGCATCCTTTGTAAAATGGAAATGTATTTTTGAGAGGTCAAAATATTTGCAAAATAGTCAGTTATATTTTCAAGGGAATGATAATCCAGTTTTTAGAAGGTACTTTTTTGTAAAGATATTTTTGTATTTGGTATTTTGCTAAATTACAGAAATATTTTATGTTAGCTTAATACTGTATGGTAACTTAAAGATTTCTTTAAGTGTAATGGTTTATTACAGATTATTTTATCATCTAGAATGTACCTCAGTGTTTTTATTCTCTGTATACCAGTTGATTAATTTCTTTTGGTAGGCATGACCTCATTTTAGTAGTGTCCCCTAATCTTAACTGTAGGTAGTATGACAATATCTGTACACGCTAAGAAGTAGACAGTGCTGAAATGGGTAATGAGACCAGGTCTATGTGCCCTGTTTGTTCTAATCCATCTTGCCTCCATTCAAAGCCACCCCCATGTACCCCTGTTTCCTGATCCGGCTCTTGCTCCGGTGAAGGTACCAGCCAAATGGCCATTCTGACAGCTTAGCAGCTCAAAGTAGAATTCAAGAATTTTGTAATGCCGCCACTTTAAAACACTTGGGGGGGCGGTGTTTGGCCTGTAAGTGCCTTTGAGCACTTAATATGGAAAACATGTGTGGCCAGATGACAGGGATATGCTCAATGTTTAACGTAATGGCAGCAGTTGAATGCAGATTAGACAGCTTGGTCCTTGCTATTCCTTGGGTAGATATTAATGCATTTTGACTAGCTGCTATATATAATTAATGTGTAGAACATGATTGGATGAGTGAGCTGGTCATAAGCAGTGACCCTAAAATCATTTTTGATACACCTTGAACGTAAACAAAGACGATTTGTGAGAAATGCCCTTTGTTTCCTACTGCTTTGAGCTTCTTATGAATATCTCACTGCGTCAGGGACCAAACTCTCTTCAGGCTGCGGTGGAGCGTTGGAGCTGTCAGACATGGATCGTGTTTTATTGAATATATTTTTTGTTCGCTCTGTGCATAAGTCTCATGTTGCATTTTCTCATTTGTTTGACCCAAATAGAGACATAAAATGCACCTCACAGGATAACCATACTCTTAAAGTTCTTTTAAGTTTCTTAGCCGCAAATCTTTATTGACGGATCATCTGCACTGTCTTACTCCCCCATTAAAGAAAGAATAGACTGTCAAAGGAAGCACTAGCAATTATTGCTCCACACGTTCAAAAGAAATAATCCTTTGACTGCTTTTGTAGGCTTGCTTCAGCAGAAGCTCTTGTGCATTAGAGGTTGTCCCTTTCCCCCATCTATCTGTCGACATTTGCATATTACCGAGTTACTTCACTCCCCAGGTGCTGAAATGATGACAGTTTGGTTGGCACGGCTTCAAGTCTGCATCGGAGGTTTTGTAGTTAGGAGTACCTCTGTGGAGTGGCTTTAGGATTTTGCCAGGGTTTGGCTTAGCAGGGGCTGGTAACATATGCCCCCCCATGGTGGAATGAGCTCTAGGCCTCCAGTAAACACCCCCATCTCACAAACTATCCATAACCAGCAATTAATATGTATTTAGGCATCGCCATTGAGCCCAGTGTCTCCCAGCGTTCTCGCTGCCATTGCACACCTTCCATATGGCAGTGTTTTCAGCTGGTGAAAAAATCTGATTTAGCCTTGCATGGTGCCTTGGTTATTCTCCTAATCTGTTCTTTCTAGAGTTCCAGTGGTGATTCCAAACAGTATGTAGTTAATACATTTTGGATTCAATGTATTTTTCTTCAGGGTTATATGCAGACTAAGGAGATCATCTAAATGCTGTAAAATGTTGAAAATGCAGAAAAACGACACTTGAGCGACACTTGAGCGTTGCAGGTCTTCCATAGCGACACGTAACGCCGACAGGTTGTATTTTTCTGTGTCATATATGGACTTTTTCTTTAGCAGCTGGTTCCTAGAGAATGATGAAACGCCAGAACCTGTCAGGGGTTTCCCCTCAGTGATCCTCTTCAGTTTCTCAGAGCACTTGACAGACCTCTCTACTATTAGTTTTATACTGTGTCATCTGTCTTACAGCAGAATACATTTATTACTTTTTTCCACGGATGCTGTGGGCATGATGCATGGTTTCTGGTTAATGTCTTCCTCTCACTCTCTCTTCTTCCGTCCAGAAACCTATTCGATACCGGAGGGCCATCAGCTACGACAGCAAGGAGTATTACATGCGTGTTCTGTCAGGGAACCCCGGCATGTACCAGCACTCCATCGAGCAGAGCTCCGAGGGGGTGACCACGCAGCACGAGCCCGAGCACGGAGAGGACACCATCGCCAGGGTCAAAGGTGGGCGCATCTCGGGGTCAAAGGTCATATGGATACCGGTACTGCTCATGTCACAGAATGTAATTCCTTCTCCAAATATAAGGGTCTCTAAATCTCGTTTTCTGTGTTGCATTTGTGCTTCAGCTGCGCACTCATAGTATATCAAAACTTCCAAAACTCACAGCTTGCAAGTTTTACAATCAATTCCTGAAGCAGTTCAGTGGTGACGAATGTTATGTCAGATCAGAGACGTGCAGGTATTGGGTGCAGGTATTGGGTGCAGGTATTGGGGGTGCCTGAATACCTACCCATTTTCACCCACAAAATTTTACCGCCTCCCAGGTCAGGAAATTTAACCCTTGGGAAATTTTATCAAATGAGATGCAGCACCTTGGGACACGCACCTGCCCCTTGTAACGTCTCTGCTGTGCCGGATGACTGTATCAGCTTTTGGGGTTTAACGTGACAGCCACGTTCAGCAGACACCTTGCCCTGACCGCTTCCTGATGCTGAACACCAGGTCCTGTACGGTGACCCCGAGGCCTTTGGGTCCGCTTTCTCAATGCACGTCTCCCGGCCGTGCGGCTTCTCTGTGGTCCACAGGTCTGGTGAAGCCGCCGCTGAAACGCTCGCGCTCTACGGCGGACGGGGGAGACGAGGACGGACCGGAGCAGCTGCAGGACCAGCTGCTGGAGTCTGGGGCCGTGGACGAAGAGGAGAAAACGGACAACACTACCCTCCTGAGGCTCCTGGAGGAGGGGGAGAAGGTGAGGAGGCACTTCTGGGGAGGGAGTCTTCCATCCATCCATCCACTGTCCAACCCGCTTCTCCTACTGGGTCGCGGGGGGTCCGGAGCCTATCCCGGAAGCAATGGGCACGAGGCAGGGAACAACCCTGGATGGGGGGCCAGCCCATCGCAGGGCACACTCACACACCATTCACTCACAGGGAGTCTTTTGATCGTCAAATTATATGTGGCATTTCAACTAAAACTGCATAAATAAGCTACAAAAAGCCAAGATTATACGTTTAGAAAATGTAGCCCCCATCTTATGTAATTTTGGTTTTGACTCCCATTACAGAGTGAATTAATCATGTTTTACTCACTGTAGCAATGCACCATTTTTCGTCGTAATCTGAATATGGTCTAAGAAGAATAAATTCTGATTATATGCATGATGGAGTTCATATCGCTGTATATTTTCTCACTCTTTGGAAGGAAGCTTTTTTCTAAATCACTAGTCATTCAGTATTGATATGAGGATGGGCCGGAACTTGTCGCAACTTGATTACATCATGAGACGTCCCTTTGAGCGCCTTTTGATTCTGCGTTCTAAACACAGATTCAGCACATGTACCGAAGCGCTCGAGTCCAAGGCCTAGACACCAGCGAGGGTCTGCTGCTGTTTGGGAAGGAGCACTTCTACGTGATCGACGGCTTCACCATGACGATGAACAGGGAGATCCGCGACATCGAGACACTTCCTCCAAAGTAAGTCAGCAAGAAAAAAACAGTGGCTTCCCTGCAATGGTTACCTCCGGTTGGGATACCTTTATGTGCGAATATGTATGTATAATTTGTATTTCTTCTTGTATTTTTTTAAGTGTCCATAGTTAGCTACTTTCTTGCTGCTTTCTGTTTGCTGCAGATTTTATTGAAAGTTATTTTCAGAAATTGCCTACGGGAAGAAATAAAATATACATACTGTTCCACGTAAAGAAGGAATTCTGCATTTCTGCATAGCTTGACATTCCCTTTCATTCATCTCCTCTGGAGATAGAAGTTGCATGAATTTCTGCATGTATAATTTGTACTGTCAGCAGACTACAGTTTGCTCTTCTCTGCTCCTCCTCTCTCATATCATTTTTTAAATATTAGGGACACGGTTCTTTGACTTTGATCTAATATTTTAACATCTGCCTAGTTCTTCAGATTGTGCTCTCTTTTTTGTTTTTATTATTATTTGCATTTATTGTAAGTGTAGCTGAAACACTGAATGGATGCTGGTCTCGGTCTACCTCACAGTGCCTCCCTCACTAAACTGCCGCAGAGCGGCTGACCTAGATTCCGTCTCCGTTTCCGCTTCATATGTGTGAGGGCTCCTGCTGAATCATTTGGCCCCTGTCTTGTGATTTCCCGTCTGCTGGATGTGTGCGAGGAGGTTATGGTGAAGCGCTTGGCCCACGTGCTGTGACTCCACGTCTGCTACGGTGCGACGGTAAAACACTTAGCCGTTTTATCGGGGTTTTCCAGCATGCATGAGGCAATCATACCCAGGGGAGCGAGGCAGGGCCAGAACCAGCTGAAGAGGACCTACAGCATCTTCGCCTATGAAGACATCAAGGAGGTGCACAAGCGACGGTACCTGCTGCAGGTGAGACCACTTAGATTTTTTCGGCCAAAAGGGGAGACTGGTATCTGTCACTCAGCTGTTGACATGGGTCTTTGCTTTGATTTTGGTCACAAAATCACTTTCAGAATTGGTTCAGTCAATTAACCTGCCCTCTTTGATTCCAGCCAATAGCAGTTGAAGTCTTTTCAGGAGACGGAAGAAATTATCTGCTGGCATTCCAGAAAGGGGTCCGGAACAAAGTCTACCAGAGGTACGTGTACACCTCTCCAAAATATCTGTTCATTCATTCATTCATCCATCCATCCAAATATCCATCCATCCATCCATTTTCTGCCGCTATCTGGTATCGGGTCAGCGGGGCAGGGATGCCCAGACCTCCCTCTCACCAGCCACCACCTCCAGCTCCACTGGGGAATACTAAGGTGTTCCCAGGCCAGCCGAGAGATATAATCTCTCCAGTGTGTCCCATGTCTGCCCCAGGGCCTCCTCCCAGTTGGACATGCCGGAAACCTCCCAACAGGGGGGGGCGTCTAAGGTGGAATCCTTCTTAACCATCTCAACTGACTCCTTTCCCAATCCAAAATAACCAGGCTGTGTTGCCTTAGATCCTGCTTATTTGTGCATTTGCCAGGGTGTGTTTGGCTGCTTCTGCAACATAAAAACATAGTGTTGAGATTCCAGATTCATTAAATATGGACCGAGCATTTCAAATGAAAGTCCTATTGCAGACTGACCCCAATGAATGAATGAATGAATGTTATGTTTATAAAGCGCTTTTCAAGACACCCAAAGCACTTTACAGAACCATTGGGGAGACACTTCAACCTCCACCACTGTGTGTAGCCCCCACCTGGATGACGCAACGACAGCCATTCTGCGCCAGTATGCTCACCACACATAGCTAAGGTGGTGAAGGGGCAGGAGAAAATTCACCAGTTAAGTCTAGGAGATGATTAGGGGGGCAGATTTGAAAGGGCCACAGTGGGCAATTTTAGCCAGGACATCAGGGTACCACCCCTACTCTTCTGAAAGATGCCCGGGGATCTTTTATGACCTCAGAGAGTCAGGACCTCGGTTTTACATCTCATCCGAAGGACGGCACCATTTCTACAGAACTGTGTCCCCTTCACTGGGGCATTGGGACCCACACAGACCACAGGATGGGCTCCCGTCTTAGCCACACCAACATCTCTTCTGATGCATAAATGCACCTCCATTCTGCAGTATATGAGCCTGTAAACATCATCTGGTCTCATTGCAGGTTCCTAGCAGTGGTGCCCTCTCTAGCTGATAGCTCAGAGTCTGTCTCCGGCCAGCGGCCCAACACCAGTGTTGAACAAGGGTAAGTATCCCATCCCATGGGAGAGATTCCATGGATCACAATCACACTGGAGTTTAATGGGGGTTTCTTTCTCTCGTCACATAAAGGTCTGGATTACTGAGTACTCTGGTGGGAGAGAGGTCCGTAACACAGCGTTGGGAGGTAGGCTTTCCTGAAGACCATTTTTGTTTAACTTTCTTTACATCAGACTGAAGAATATGCATGTACCTCATGAGGGAATTCCTGTCTTTCTCCACACAGAGAGGGGAGATCAGTAATTTCCAGTACCTCATGCACCTGAACACACTGGCAGGCAGGTCCTACAATGACTTGATGCAATACCCTGTCTTCCCCTGGATCCTTGCAGACTATGATTCAGAGGTACAAGCACCATGACATACTAATATACTGTTTAATGATTTGATTTGAGGAGTAAATGGTTCATCTGCTTTTGTGGAATTTTGTGCTTATGCTGTGTTTGTGCTTTTTGGTGCCCTCCCCCCCCAAGGAACTGGACCTGAACAACCCCAAGACATTCCGTAACCTGTCCAAACCCATGGGGGCTCAGACGGAAGACCGGCTGATCCAGTACAAGAAGCGGTTCAAAGACTGGGAGGACCCTAATGGTATGCGCACAGCAGCGTCATTATCTATATCTGTATCTGTTCAAGCAACAACATTATTTGTCTCTATATTTGCTTTTGTAAAGTGGGCATGGTTCATAGCGGAGAGTGGGGATGCTTGCAACACTTTGACTTCCTTCAGTGTCTCAAAGACCGTATGGGAAAGAAAAATTTGAAGACATTAAACCCACATCCGTCAGCTACCCACCTACACTGATGTAGTGTGTGTGTGTGTGTGTGTGTGTGTGTGTGTGTGTGTGTGTGTGTGTGTGTGATATTATATGTACAATTTACACTCAAGTAGACAAAGTCAAATGTTGCAACTGACCCCCTGACAGGGGAGAGTTGCAACATTCATAAAAATTTTATAAATTCATTCTTTATCATCATTTTGCAATTTCTTTAATTTATTTATGCACAGACTGGGTCTTCATTCAGTTAAATTGGCTCTATAAAGACAAAGACTAGTAAAACTACTAGAAGTACTAGACAAAACATGAAAAAGTAACAAGCATGTTTTGGATCACATTCGGGGACCAAAATGTCCCCAAAGTGCGGTGAAACCTGAAACTTCCTTACTCTTGGGGACACTCCTTCAGGTCCCCATCTGGATAACCTCGATTTTATAAAAATCTGTGAATGCAATCAAAAAAGTAAAAATGCCAAAAGTCTTGTATTTGGGTTGGTTACTTATGGTTAAGGTTAGGGATGGGTAGGGGTTAAGGGTGTCGTGATTGGGGTTAGAGTTTTTCCCATAGAATTAAATGGACGGTCCGCATTTAGATAGGAAGACCAACTTGTGTGTGTGTGTGTGTGTGTGAGACAAAGAAAAGGTAACAGAAAACATCCACATTAGGGCTAACATGATTAGTCAATGTAGTCGATGACGTTGACGCTGAAAATGCGTTGACATCAATATTTTAAATTGACGCATCGTTTTTTTTTTTTTATTATGATTTATTGTTATGGTTTCTAAAACGCTTCATTTTAATAAACATTTTCCTTTGGTATCACTACAAAATATGAGAATAGTTCAGTTGTACACTGTTCAAAGTTTCGATGGCATGCCATGGTGGCACTAACGCTATGCACGAGGACCTGAAGCGAAGACACACAGGCGCTATTCTGGATGATGGGTCGCCAGAGTAGGCAAAACCACTGTAAGTGTTGTCTATTCATGCTTATTAAATTACCATTAGTATGGTGAATGCTTAAATATCTTTTGTCCTTGTAGCTGCAAATACACTCAATACGCATCTCGTTAATATTTTAGGCATACTACTAACCTGATTATCGAATTGTGGGCGAAAATAATGTCCATATAGTGTCAAAAAGCCAGCGTCGTTATCTAGTCTTACAATAACGGTTTGTTATTGTCAAAATAAAATAAAATTAAATGGTCAACTTGTTTTTCGTTAGTGGCGGCCCTAATCCACATCAGATGAACGCTTACTGAAGTGAACTATGTGTGTGTGTTTAAGTGAATGTTGTAAAGTTTTTTTTAAGTGTGCATCTGGATATGCAGGTAGGCCATTATTTGTGTGTGTGTGTGTCTATATGTGCATGTGGTGTAGGTTATGTGTGTGTGACAGAGAGAGGATACTAGAGGGCAATTATTCCATATCCAGCTTGCAGTTGTGGCAAGTATAAATGGCTACTCCATCAGTGCAACTGCATGTTGGGATGTTTGCAACATGCTACAGCAGGATAAAACTTGCTATGCTTGCTCGACACAATAGCTTTGACACCTGCTAGCGGTGCCTGTTAGAAGCTAAGAAAACACACATTAAAATTATATGACTTTACAATGCTTCTCGCAAACAGTGTAGACAGCATGACAAAAACTGGTCATAAAAAATACCTTTCAAAGTATTTTTGGCAGAAGGAACGGTTACAAATGGCTGCTTTCTTCCAGGAAGGAGGAGCTAACTAAGCATGTGCAGTATGAATATCGTCACTGCAGCTGATTCCTGATTACAGGAATAAGCCGTGTTACAGCCGTCCCCACTCTTCCCTACCAGAAGTCCTAATATTCACTGGAAATGCAATTGTTGTGCCTTAACTGAGCTGAGTTTTATAAACTATCTGAGCCAGGGAACAATCAGAAACTATACTGAAAAAATCTTTTATAAATTTAGTTTTATTAATTGAAAGATTCTGCTTTGCATTGAAGATCGAAACTATTTACACTAAAGATATATATATTCCGACCACATACATGACGACATGATTTCCTGCTTCTAGGTGAAACCCCTGCTTACCACTATGGGACTCATTACTCCTCTGCTATGATCGTGGCCTCATACCTGGTTCGAATGGAGCCCTTCACTCAGATTTTCCTCAGGCTACAAGTAAGAGAAATGCTCATCTTCACCCAGCCCTGATTCCTGAAGTTCTTGTTGTTTTTCACAGATTAATGTGCAATTTATAATACCAAGTTATGCTAATGATGTCTCAGTATGACTTTGTTCAGTTATTTGCATTAAAAGCCGTGTCTCCCTCTCCGTGGCCAGTTGTTTGGAAACGGCGTGGGAATGATCAGGGTGTTTATCTCGCTTCAAGTGCTCGAGGCCACTACACTGTGTCTGTTATTCTCGAACGCCCACAGGGAGGTCACTTTGACCTGGCGGACAGGATGTTCCACAGTGTCCGGGAGGCATGGCTCTCCGCTGCCAAGCACAACATGGCCGACGTCAAGGAGCTCATCCCTGAATTCTTCTACCTCCCGGAGTTCCTCCTCAACTCCAACAACTTTGACCTAGGTGAGAACCTCATCCTATGCTTTTGTGGTATTTTACCACAAAATGGGTGTGAGAAGACCAGTATACTAATTCTTTGTTTATATTCCGCTCCCTGCATGGATAATAGGCAGTAAACAGAATGGCACCAAACTCGGTGATGTGATCTTGCCCCCATGGGCCAAGGGCGACCCCAGGGAATTTATCCGGGTTCACCGAGAGGTATGTGATGTCATTTGTTCTCCTCTATCTCCATGGGGGCAGTGTGTGACCCCTGACCAGCAGAGTGATCATATCACCGTTGGGACCTTGAGCAAGGCCCTTAACCTTGAAGCTCGAGTGGTTGACCCTGCACTATATCCGTGTGTCATAGGAGATCAAGTTGGGATAGAATTCCAACTTGCTTGTAGAAATGGCACTAAAGTATCATTACCGTTATAGTGTGCTGCTGCAATCCACCTTGCACACATCTTTGGTGTCCCTCTGCGATGCCCAGGCTCTCGAGTGCGACTACGTCAGCGCCCACTTGCACGAGTGGATAGACCTCATATTCGGATACAAGCAGCAGGGGCCACCCGCCGTGGAGGCTGTCAATGTCTTCCACCACCTCTTCTACGAGGGCCAGGTGGACATCTACAACATCAACGATCCACTGAAGGAGACCGCCACCATTGGCTTCATCAACAACTTCGGGCAGATCCCCAAGCAGGTACCGCAGAGTGGCCTCTTTTGTAAGGAAGTACAAGAAAACGGGCTACACTTCTGGTGATATAACAATATATAAGTATGCTGACCACAACGGAGAATCTACAAGGAATAACGAAAACAGGTTGCACTTTGTTTTTGATATAGTATAATAAATGTCACAACACAGACGTGTTTCAGCGTGATTCCTTCCTCAGTGTGCTACTAGCCCTGTGCACTTAAAAAGACGTAACCCTATTGGACAACCAATGATAATACAGCAGGTGTCATGGGCATCATCAGGGCATCATCAGACCACACCCTGAATGAGTGATATCACACCAGATTACTAACAAAGTATACAAAACTCAGTGATCTATGGTTTGTATATCATGTGATAATATCACAAGGGATAATATCACACCAGAACTCATTAAAAAAGAAAGTATATCACAAATTCTAAAACATATACAGTGGTATCTTGGTATACGAGCATTATTCGTTCCAGAAACATGCTTGTAATCCAAAGCACTTGAATATCAAAGCAAATTTCCCCATTAGTAATAATGTAAATCATTCGTTCCACAACCCAAAAATACAGTGGTACCTCGGTTCTCGAAGTTAATCCGTTCCGGACTCCGGATCGAATCCTAAAAAGTTCGAGTTCTGATCGAATTTTTCCCATAAGAAATAATGGAAAACCAATTAATTGGTTCCCGGCCCCCCAAAATTACACCTAAATGTTTTTTTTTTTTTTTTTTTATAGCATTTAAACACAAAATGAACAGGATAAAACAAGAAGAGCATTCTTTTCTTAATGGCTTCCAAAACGATAATGATCTTATCCCAACATTGCCTCTGTCCTGCCCCGATCGTCTGCTCCTTCCATGTGCCACGCCCCCTCGTTAACCTCGTGTGGGATCCCCATGTCATCAGCTGTTTCTGGTTGTTGTCATTAGTCCTCTGTATAAAGTCCGCGTTTCAGTTTGTTTCCCCAGTCCGGTCATTGGGTGCGTTCCACTTGCTTACAGCGCTGGCTTAAAGCAACGCATTCTGATCCTGATGCAATGCATTACGGTTAGATGCATTGCAACCTCTCACCCGGCTGCACAAACTGGAACCGCCTCCGTGACGTCACACCTTTGCCCTTATTGGCTGAAGAGTTTAGTTACACGCATGACGTTTGTATCCCAGACAGTTCCGATGCGTAATCTGCTATTTCTCCCAAATATCACATAAAGCAGTGAGAACTGGTTTTCAGTTAATTTACCTGGTAAAATAGTTTAAGTAAATGACATAAATGCTCTAATAGTGCACGTAAGTTAGTGGTTTATTTATTGTTAGTTACTGTAATGTTGCGCTGCTTTATTTGGTTAATCGTCCAGTCTGTGAAGAAGGCATTCAAGTAAGAATTGCATTGCAGTATGACTCATTTCCTGGTGCGTACAATTTATATTAGGTCAGCGTTCACGGTTCGACTTCTGATATTCAGATAGAGTTCTAGGTCAAACTGGTTTGTTCGACTTTCAAGAAATTCGAGTTCTAGTGAGTTCGAAAACCGAGGTACCACTGTATTTGGGTGTAATTTTTTGGGGCCGGGAACCAATTAATTGGTTTTCCATTATTTCTTATGGGGCAAATTCGATCAGAACTTGAACTTTTTAGGATTCGAACCCGAGTTCCGAACGGATTAATTTCAAGTTCTGAGGTACCACGCTTCTCTAAGTAGACTGTCTTTTTAAACTAGAAGCGCTCAGTGTGATTAGTGCACTGAGGTAGGCATCGTGCCGAAACGCGACTGTGCTGTGATGTTTATTAAACTTTATCGAAAGCAAAATGCAACCTGTTTTCTGTTGAAATGTGAAGTGTGAAAATACGCCTCGTTACTTCGAGTGTAGTTCTCTGAGGGGGTTAGCGTTGTTAAGCTAAAAGGTCATGCATGAACAGTCTGTGTCTTTGTATCAGGGGAAATGGCTGTGAAGTCAACAGAACTTGATAAGGAAACTACATTTCACAGAATTGATTTCTCTGCTCCAGTCCTCTCTCAGACATGACTGGGCCCCTAAAACAGTCTACCAAATGCCACCCTCTTTCTGATTTCTTTAAAGGGGCCCTATTATGCTTTTCTGGTGTTTCCTTTTCCTTTAGTTTGTTATATAGTTTTATGTGCATGTAAATGGTCCACAAAGTCTTAAGGCCCTAAGTACACGCTGAAGGGAGTAACTCCGCTTACCTGTAAAGATATGTTTGCAGCCTTCAAGAGAGGGCTGGAACGTGTAGGCAAGCTGACCAATCAGAACACACTGGGCTCATCAGGGGTGGAGCTTGAAGCTCAAATGAAGCGTTTCAAACATCTTGATAAACAAAGTGAAGCGAGATATACAGTATGAAAAAAGTAATGTATTTTTGAAACATTGAAGCATGTAAATACATACTTGTAGAACCCAAAAATAAAATTATGAACGGTGAAAATTAGCTTAATTGGGCTTCTTTAACACTAACTCATTTAAGAACAGAAATTTGAAATTCCAGCTCATTTTAACAGACTTTTAATTCCGGGAATATTTTACCTGTTCATGGTCAATGACCGCGGCATTTGTCATGGCCACCCTGGTGTGTGGCTCCTTGTAAGTCTTCCTCTTTCTCCCCCCTTACCGATAGCCCCTTCTCTGATCCGATATGCCATCATCCTCCTCTTCCACCACCGTTCTTGAGGTCTGACAGATTGCATCTTCATCTTGTGCATCTTGTTCTTCTGTGTAAATGTGCCACTGTGTGTTCCAGCTGTTCAAAAAGCCGCACCCACCAAAACGAGTGCGCAGCCGGGCCAACGGGGAGCCGGCGGGCATGCCCACGGGCCTCAGCACCGCTGCCGACAAGATCTTCTTCCATCACCTGGACAACCTGCGTCCGTCACTGGCGCCCGTCAAAGGTGTTTAGGATGTGATGTTAAGAAAAAAATACTAGAGCGATGTTCTTTTTTTTTTTTTTTTGGAGGCAGGTTTTTGGGATGACCTCTGAGCTGGAGCTAAGAACCACTGCTTTACACCAAAATAATTCCTCAAGTAATTCATGGCAATTTATAGAGTTTAAAGACCAGTAGTACAGGCAGACATCCAGGAAAGCTGGATCTCAGAGCTAGGAGTGTGCTGGTGCTCAGTACCACAACCTTTTTGTTTTTCTCTTCATAGTACTGAGAACATTCTTGCATACTGGCACCTCTCATAACCTACTGGTACTGATAACAAGATTACTGGCACCTTTTCTCCCCCCATTTCACACAATGATACACTCTGGTACAGTGGCAATGCAGCAGTGCATGCAGGGATACCCAGTCCTCCAAAAAGCATCTGTCACCAGGGCCTGACAACGCCCCCCTGTGTGTTTCAGAGCTGAAGGAGCCGGTTGGGCAGATCGTGTGCACCGACAAGGGCATCCTCGCGGTGGAGCAGAACAAAGTTTTGGTACCGCCCACTTGGAACAAAACCTTTGCCTGGGGATATGCTGATCTCAGCTGCAGGCTGGCCAACTACGAGTCAGATAAGGTCAGTCCTGCATGCCTATAATGTGTGGCTGGCCCAGCCCACGCTACATATCAGGATTCACTTACATGACTTCTGGTAGCTAACAGCTGTCTGCCTGCCTGCAGTAGACAATGCAGCCAGCCTCATTCGGGAAACACCTTAGACAAAAATTCTATTAAAAATTCAATAAAACAGGCTGCTTTAGTCTCCTTTTAGGTTTGCTGCTTCTTGTCGTTCATGGCATTATACCAGGCACTTGTTAATCAAAGATGGACATTTTAGGTTTAATAATGATACTGCATTGGTCATTAGATGTCTTTGTTTTGTTCCTGGAAATTGAATCGCTCCTAAGCATATTCTGTGTCTTCAAACATGATACCACAGTCTTCTGTTTTTTTTTTATTTATTACATATATCCTGTCAGTACCGTATTCATAGTGCTTCTGCCGTCTGGTGTTTAGTCTGGGCTTCATGTTTACATTTGTAAGAAGCATATTGCATCATAACGTTTTTTTTTTTTTCTGTCTCACGCTTTCTTTCTTTCTTATTTCTTTCTTCCAGGCTGTCGTCGTGTATGAGTGCCTGTCAGAATGGGGTCAGATCTTGTGTGCCATCTGCCCTAACCTAAAGCTGGTCATCACCGGGGGCACCAGCACCGCCATCTGCGTTTGGGAGATGGGCACGTCCAAGGAGAGGGCCAAGATGCTTACTCTCAAACAGGTAAACTGCGCCTGGCTATTTAACACTCGCATCCTCCTGTCTGTCTGTGTGTCTCCTGCATTTCTGTGTATTCTTCTGTGGAATGGTGCGGTGGTCTCTCACCTCGTCTTTGTTTCTTAGGGGGAGGTTTGCACAGTTTCCCCATGTCCAAACTGAGGTGTAGACTTAATACTAAGTCCAATTTCTGTAACTTTCCAGAATAAAAACTCCTCAGTCCCTCTCTGTGCCACTTAAAGATGGCGCTCATCACATCATGTCTTACTATCATATTCTGCCTCTCCACATCGAATGCTGCCACACCCAATATTTTATGCACCCCGTGTGAGCTTACAGAGCACAGGTTCAGCAGCACAATGACCACTCAGTGTACAGTGACTGAATAATGATGACATGCAATTCAGGTAACTGACTCTAGGAGCGCTGTCGCATCGCACTTCTCGGATTGTGGGTTTCACTGACTCCAGCTGGCTCCAGTGTCCAATTTGCATATTCACTGTATATCAGTGGCTTTCCTGCAGCTCATCTGCTTTTTATTTATTTACTGTTTAATCAAATGATGTGCATTTCCTATGAATGAGTAATCAGCACATCAGTTTCCATTCTGGTCCGGCTTTGAGCAATGCAGGTGCTCACCGGTGCCCCCTTCCTGTGCCAACAGGCTCTGCTGGGTCACACAGACGCGGTGACGTGCCTGACGGCCTCCTCGGCCTACCACATCATCGTCAGCGGCTCGCGCGACCGCACCTGCATCATTTGGGACCTCAACAAACTGGCCTTTGTCACTCAGTTGCGGGGCCACCGGGCCCCCGTCTCTGCCCTCTGCATCAACGAGCTCACGGTAGGCACCCCCTTGTCCCCCCAACCCCCAGTCCCCCCTCTGTGGCTCAGAGACTGGGCACAAAAAGTGTTTCACTGGACCTCTGGAGTGGTCCGTGGCTCAGTGGCTCAGCGGTTGAGCTCCCCTTGCTAGCAGAATGATGTCAAAGGTCCTTCCTCATGGCCCTTAACCCCCTCTGCTACAGGGATTGGCTGGTTCTGCCGTCTCAGCTGTATGTTGCTTAGGATAAAAACACTGCTAAATAAATGCATTGCAGCTTCAGTCTCACTTGGTGTTCAATAGCCCCCTTTACAAGATCATTTCCCCAAGATGCCTAACAATATTGTGTGGCTGTTGATACATAAATAAGTTGACAAAGACATACAGTTAATAACGTTGCATGTTGCGGTGTGAGGATATTAATACGCCGAGGGGAAAAAAAACAGCAGTGCTGGAAGAATCAGCAGCTAATTAACGGAAATGAGTGTTTAAGTTCTATTAAAGTCTATTTTCTGTCTCACACTTCCGGCTTCCCGGCTCAGTAACTGTTTATGGTGTGTTGGCAGGGCGACATCGTGTCTTGCGCAGGTACCTATATCCACGTGTGGAGCATCAATGGCAGCCCCATTGTGAGCGTGAACACCTTCACCGGGCGCAGCCAGCAGATTCTGTGCTGCTGCGTGTCCGAGATGAACGAGTGGGACACACAGAACGTCATGGTGACCGGCCACTCGGATGGCGTGGTGCGGGTGAGGGCTCTGTCCGCCGAAGCCACACCCCCCAGCCCTGCTCTCCTCTCTTACTACTGGTTTCCTGTCTTACACTGGTGTTGTCAGCATGCCCACTGTACCTTTAAATCTGTCTGTCACACCTTCAGATTTTGGAACGAAAAAAATTAAACACTTGCTCCCAATAAACTTTAGTCCAAGGGCAGGGAGGGAGCTCATGCCAGAATTGTGGTACTCAAGTGTTTTGCCCCTGCAGACCATATTTATAGGCATCTCTCCTGCCCATCCCCCACAGTTCTGGCGGATGGAGTTCCTGCAGGTGCCAGAGACCCCAGCCCCAGAACCGCTGGAGCCCTCTGAGGTGTCGGACTGCTGTGGCGAGGACAAGATCGGTATGTCTGCCTGGCGTCCTGCGTAACATCAGTGTCCCATCCTGAGAAGCCTTTGCACCTCTCCCTTTATCCTGTGTCAGACATACTCTAGTCTAAAAGTGAGTAGTTATGCTGCAAGGGAAAGGCAAACCAAAACGAAATGTGGATGAATATGTTGGGTTATGGAAGACAGGCCTGTGTGTGGTTCTGTGAGTTAGGACTCTAATTCTGTAAATCCTACAAATCCTTTAGCCAGGAGAGTGATGTCACCATTGAGCCCTTGAGAAAGGCCCTTAGCACTAATTGTTCCAGGAATGCGAAATTCTCAGCAGGCCTCTGCTGGGATCCCCAAGCCTGTTTGTGTGTCCAATGGAGAGCAAAGTGCGATAGGTGAAACCCAATTTCCCCACGGGGATGAATAAAGTATCACTATTCTATTCTCACTCTAGTGAGTGTCAACTTCCCTTAATCAGTCTGTCGGTTCTTCTAATAGCTGTTAAAATTGCTGTTTATATCCAGTTGCTTGGCAGCCGCCAGAGCTAAATGGGGCTGTTTTCAGCGCTTTGTTTTTCCTGGACATTGCGGTCCCCCGATTCAGGTTCCCCGTGTTGGCGGCGGACGGTGACGCACGCCCGGCTGTAGCCCGGCAATGACGCGCGGCTGACCGTACTCCCGGCCTGAGTCTGGTGCACTTGTCTGTCTGCAGAAGGCGGCGAGACCCACGAGGATGACAGCAGCGACTCGGACGGCGACGAGCAGAACGGCAGCCGGGAGCCCAAGTCTGGGCCGAGGCAGCCGGGGGCGGCGGCCCGTCCGAAGGGGCCCGCAGGTCGGCTCGGCGCATCGTGGTCAGCCGACAGCGGCTCTGACGACTCGCGCCGCTGGTCCGACACGCTAAGCCTAGACGAGAAGGATGGCTTTGTGTTCGTCAACTATTCAGAGGGGCGGACACGATCCGGCCTGCAGCAGCCCGCCAACCCCCACCCCCACCCCCCCCTGGGGCTGCATGGGGGGGTACCACAGCCCCTCCAGCCTTCATCAATGGAGGCTCGTCCCTACAGCCAGCTGCGACCTGGTAAGCACAAACACACTAAGCGCTAGAACGGGCTCTGCACATTGACTATACCGGGGGCTGAACCACAAAGCAGGGTTTCTCACTTAGCCAGATAACTTGTCGGATTTAAGGTGTGCCATGCTGCTAAATGTAAGTGGATGAAGATAAAGGGCATTTAAACTGGGCTTAAATCCGGCAAGTTATCCAGCTAAGCAAGAAATCCTGCTTCGTGATACAAGCTCCTGGTTTACAGCTAGTTTCATTACATAAACACATACTAACAATTACTTACACTTAAACACGTTACTTACAATTAAGAAACTGCTTCTTTTTTTGGAAATAAGTTCATCTGCTTTTCTCAGCAATTAATAACCATTATATATATGTATATATATATATATATATATATATATATATATATATATATATATATATATATATATATAAATATAAACCAATAATCATAAGTAACTAAGAATATGTAACATTATAATATCACACATGAACAATGGCCATTAATCAGGTCTGTTTTCAATGTGTAATACACCGGTGCTGTTATAATGTATTCTTGCTGAATCGCCCTGGAGAATGTGCCACAGCAGCTGACTCATCACGCTGTCTTGCGTACACAGGCTGCAGATGGGAGCGTCAGCTGGTCTTCCGCAGCAAGCTGACCATGCACACGGCGTTCGACCGCAAGGACAACGCCCACCCGGCGGAGATCACCGCACTCGCCATCTCCAAGTAAGCCCCCGCGCCGCCTCCCCTGGGCGGCATCCAGTGCAAAAGGCTGTCAGACCCGCTCTTTGGAGTGGGGGGAGTGGATGTGCAGCTCTGGGGTGATGTGAGTTTATTATGAGTCCCAAAGAATTGGGCCTGCAGGCCTTCAAAATTTTCCAAAAAAAAAAATTTTCTGTTTAGGTCCCATGAATAATTACATATATAAGGGCTACTTCTGAACCAGCAAGCAAAAATGAGCCTTTTCAAAAAATGTTTTATTTAGCCTGTCATGGGACATAAAAACATGGCACTGGCTGGGATGGCGAAGCCCAGATTTAGGCCTCCAAAGAAATTGCCTGTCCAGGCATGACTTGGCCTTTCGTCATACGCTGAGGTAAAATATCCTGGGTCAGGTTCTCTGCCTTGGGACCTTTCTGAAAGGATGGCTTCTGAACTCTGCTCCAGGGACCACAGTAAGATCCTGGTGGGCGACGGGCGAGGCCGGGTCTTCAGCTGGTCCGTGAGCGACCAGCCAGGCCGTTCGGCCGCGGACCACTGGGTGAAGGACGAGGTGGTGGACAGCTGCTCCGGCTGCACCGTGCGCTTCTCCCTGACTGAGCGGCGCCATCACTGCCGCAACTGCGGCCAGCTCTTCTGTCAGAAGTAAGGCAGCCGCTGTCCTTTGGCATGAATCCACGGATGCCCTCGTCTGCCATATTAAACCGTGGCGTCTGACTGACTTCTTACAGATGTACAGTACTATGCAAAGAAATCTTTAAAGCTGCTTATCTGGGCAGGAAGTGTGTATTCACTCCTTCACGCATACATGCATATGAACAAGAACCTGGAAAAAAGTAGCAGGAATTTCTTTTGTTTTTCAAAGAGTTAATGATATTGTACTGGACAGCTAGAAGAACAGCGCACCCCAGCCAATCCTTGTGGTGGTTTAATTTCACTGCCAGCTCACTTAATTAGCTTAATTTGTCAAATAGCTTAAAGTATTGATTAGTCAAACATGGTATGCTAGTGATCGCATCAACAAATAATTGGGTACATTGGATGGTTGCTGCAAATGCTGAGCTGACTTCAGGAGAGGATTTGAACTGGCTAAGCTGATACACTTTGACAGACATCATAGTCTCACAGAAACATGAAAGACTTTCCTGGCAGGCTAAGAATTTAGCACAGTGCTGTATATTTGATAAAGCTGCCCCATCACTAAGCTCTGGGAATGGTATGTTCTCCATCTGTACAGGTGCAGTCGCTTCCAGTCGGAGATCAAACGGTTGAAGATCTCCTCTCCGGTCCGGGTTTGCCAGAACTGTTATTATAATCTTCAGCATGAACGTGGATCTGAGGATGGCTCAAGAAACTAGCTCTCCTGCACCGGACCTGACCTGACCACGCGCCCAGTAAAGCCACTGACCCAACCCTGACAAAAGAAGATCTCAACCCAAATCAGGAGCCCCTCTCATTTTCCTTTGTATTGTGTAATAATTCATGGGGGAAAAAAAGAGCACAGAGATTACGTTTAACTTTCTCTGTGTGGCAGATGATGGGGAAATTGGGGGAAAATAATCTGAAACTTTTTGGTGGCTTTAGAAATCACCCTTCACCCCCCCCCCCCCATAATGTTTTGCTGCTTTTGTTAACAGCCCTCTAAACACCATCAAGGAATCACTCGCTTTTTAGATTTTAGATAGACAACATATTTAGGCCTCCCTTAGAAGAGCAATGAAGCTGTTTATATTGTAAATAAATATGATGGCCTTTTTAACTAGAACAAAAAAACCCCTCTTGAAGATGAGTTTTGCCTACATAGGAACTTAGTATGAAACAGTTCTGGGGGTAGAGAGAGTTTGTCTTTAGTCTGTCACAGAAACGAAGTGAAAAGGAAGGGCACTATGAATGTTATTGGAAAAGAGATTGGTTAAATGCAATTTTTTATAAACATTTTTGTTTACAGTATTTGTTTTTGTTAATATGTTGCCCATGGTACCGGCATGAAATCACATGCTAACAAAGTCATTCTGACTACAATCATGGATCTTTTTCGATGTTTGGGATATATTTATTTCTTCTGCAGCTTGCGGTGAATTTGGGATCCGATTATCTTCCGAGCTGGTGGGGAAACTATTCGGAAACATATCAGAAAGTTTTTCTGTATCTGTCCTCAGGTTTCTTTTATACAGAATTGCAATGATACATTTGAGGGCGACAGCCTATTAGCTGTTCATATTTTAAAATACAAAGTCAAACTTTTATACTATGACAGGGCTAAAATAAAAGAACAAAAAAATTTGGTGAGTGCAGTTGGTAATATTGTACCTGTTGTGGCCTGTCTTTGTGGATGTGGACAAAGGGATTCTTATTGGTTTTTAATAGATATTTAATTATACATGTAGTATATTTGGTAAAAAGTATGGCTCTGTAATAAAATGTACGTAGAGAAAAACTTTTTAGGTGAGGGTAACGAGTTACTGACTAATTCTGTGGATGCTGTTAAGGGGTGCCTCTGATTTTGATTTTAAAACTTGGAGAATATGCCCTCGCTCATCAAAATATTTGGTCGCAAAAAATATTGCAGCTTCATATATTGACTTTTTTCATTACATTTCTCAGTGATTAAAATACATGTGTATTAAAAGGCATTTGAAAGATACTGAAACATAGTAACTTGAAGCTAACTGAAGCATGTGTGCCAGTATAAAGGTGTGTGTCTCCTCTAAATGTCATGAATTGCTGGTACTGTGGGCAACAAAACTGTTATTTTAAATGCTGCTTTAACAATTAGAAATGTTTTTTTTTCCTTCCTCAAATGTTCAGGTCACTTTCACAGACGTTTCGTCTGATGTAGCGCAACTGCAGCCCATTTCTGATATAGCCTTAGATTAGACTTTCTCTCTTATTGTATAGTGTGCAGTCTTATATCATTATTCATGTACTGTATGTATATCTAGCTTACAATTATGACATCAGACTAATTGGATATGCTGCTGATTGGCAGCTTCCAAAACTAGGTGGCAAAAATGATCTGGGCAGTTTTGCACCACTTTGTGTACAAACAAAGGAAAAATCTTATCAGATGTGTTTCCTTTTAGGCGCTATGGTTGAAGGTTGTATTTCTTTACAGAAAAACAAACTGTACAAAGTATTTATGCAATTATATTGGTTTTAACATTTTTATACTATCATTTCAGCAAGTTTTGTTACTTGTTGCATGTCTAATAACACAGCTGACTTTCTGTGTCAGTGCAATGTACATGTTTTATGTTTTTTTCTTTATTTTTCTTTTGATTGTTTGATTTCCTAAGGCATTAACTAATTACTTATCCCTGAAAAAGACTTTTTGTGTACAGTAATGACTACAGGATAGCAGAAAAGTGGAAAGGGGTGAATTTTGTACAAAATGAAAATGGACAGATTAAATCATTTGATTATTTTTGGTGGTCTTGTGCTAGACTACATTACTACAGTATCTAGTGTGCAGTCTGTGATAGCTGAATGTTCATTGTATATTTGTCTTCAGTACAACTACAAAACAAAGAGTAGATTAACCCAAAAGAAATATGTAACTATAATGCAATAGATCTGGTACATCTTTTTTATTTCAATTAAATTCCTGCTATTTACCACCAGAACGGTCTGTTTTTCTGTTGTTGTTTTTTTTTTTTTTTTTGGGGGGGGGGGGGGGGGGGGTTGGGATAAAATTTCCTTTTATGAGCAATATTTGTAAAAAAAAAAAAGAAATGTATCTGTGCCATGTGAGACATACGAATGCACATGCAAATTCATGACACTTATATACAGTGTATACACTGTACAGTGATTTTGGTGTCAACGATGTCTGAACGGTTTTATATTAAGTTTATGGTGCTGATTAGGAATATAACTTTGGTTCTGCCAGATTAGCTCTAGTTTCTGAGATATTTAATAGTTAATGCAACATGTTTGAAAAGCATTCAGAATTGCAAAAATATTTTTATTTGTTACAACTAGTAAGTAAACAGTCTGACTGTACAAAAAAGAAAAATATCTTAGTGACACGAAAAAGTTATGTATGATTTGATTAATACAATATTAATTAGTTAATTGTTATTAATGTCAATGCTTCAAAAACGCTGTTTATGCGATTTCCTTTTATGTATGTCATCAGGACAATCACGTTGGAGACTCCAACAGTAGTCTGCCATCATCTGTATGTCCCATCTGCCTTGATATCGCTCCTCCATCACCTTCATATCCTGGTGGAACCTCTCACCTTGTTCCTCGCTGAAGTCTCCAAGGTTATCTGGAAATAAGTTTAAATGGCTATGGAGCATCTTTATGCTCATATTAACCCCCAAATTTCTGAAGTTAGCAAGCATATCTTGCACCAGTTCTTAATAATTGTCTGCTCTGTGATTACCCAAGTAGTTCTTCACAACAGAGACAAAACTCTTCCAGGCTGAAGCCTCAGTGTCATTCATGCATTTGGTAAAATTGGAATCGTTCATGAAATTACTAATCTGAGGACCATCAAAGATTCCAGCTTTTAGTTTTTTCATGCTCAGTCCAGGGAATGATCTACAAATGTACTTGAAGCAATTACCCGTTTTTGTCCGAAGCCCTAACAAACTGCTTCATCCATCCTAGCTTAATATGAAGCGGTAGGGGAATGATTTTGTTCTTATCTTGTTGATGATATTCAATATTTCATTACCTAAGACACTGTTACAGAGTCAAAAGACAGACCAAAAGCTATTGCAATTGTTATCGCACACAAGTCACATTGGGGGAATGCATTATTTTCATGGATGTCCATTATCTCGAGAACTAGAACCAGTTCAGCAAAAGTAATGGGATTTTTTAATTCAGCACCCTCAAAATACCCTAAATCCATTCAAAAAACCTTGGCACCTGAAAAAATTTTTTTTTGTAGACCTGTGTTATCAGTCCCAGAGGTTATTCTACATAAAATCCATTTGTATCGCGCTATTGGATTTAACACTTTAGTAATAATGTGATTATGCCTTTCAGTTTCAAACCAAATACTGCTGAATCCACGTTTTTATTTTTATGTGTGTGTACACTCTGTTAGACTGCCATCCCTTCCAGGATGTTCACCTGCCTTTGCACCCTGTGCTTCCTGGAATAGGCTGCTGTCTCCCCCACAACCCTCTACTGCACTGGTGTCACCCTCAAGACCTGTGGGCTCAATACGACCCACTGACTCTTGCCTCGTGTCTGTGTCTGTGTGTCGGGCAGGTGGGCAGGCAAGTCAGGAACAGCTTCTAAGTCCGATGTAGTTCATCAGTATTAATATTTGAGTAAGAACTCATACTATAGTACATATGTGCCTTTAGGAAAGGAAATCCCACACTAAACGTTTGCACCAATTCGTTCAATGGTCTTTCAAACAACGGATGAAAGGCCACGCAAATTCCAATTTTTTCTTCTTTTCAAATTTGGAAATGTTTGAACTCGTATAAAGCAAACTCAGTTGTGTGCTCCTAGTGAAAATGCAACAATCACTACATCAGAGTTTCATAAGGCTTTCAGGCTCTCACGCAAGATGTTTATCCTATTATAGACCTAAAATTAGCTGCATCAAAAGCATTGGGCTCGTTTGCAAACATGTGAGCAGATGTCTCGAATTTAAAGTTTCACATCAGCCAGCTGACCAAGAATCAATCAAGAGCCTATGAAAGTAAATACTTAAGAGCATTCTTTTACACACCTAAAATTAAATTGGCCCATCTCTCATTGAGTTTCACTACACGTTAATGCTACCACACATGCACAATAAATTGAACACTTCGATTGGCACGAAGTATTGTGACTTAATATTAGTCTTTATCATTTAGCCGCTTCATCATTTAGCACCATAATAGCAGACAACCATTATCATCATCTGATTAAAAATACTGGCCACAAGAGATCCATCCACGGGTTTCTCCTGAGACTCTACCGGATGCCTCCTGCAGGGAATTCAGAGACTATAAGCTTTCACAGTACGTCTGAAAGCATGTCACGCCAGATGCGTGAGCGTTAGTTACCCTGTGATGAGATGTACTTTATTGATCGCAATCAGAAATTCTTTTGTGTACAGCAGTGAAACACATTAAATGGCAAATGAAGACAGTGCACAGACAGTACACTTAGTGCATACAATTTGCAACATATTGTGTTGAATACCGTGGTGAACTTGGTTTTATATTCGATATTCACTAGGTTTTTTGGCTTCTAAACTGCAACATCTTCCGAATAATGACCCAGCATCCAGTCCATACAAGCATTGGACAGAGTAGGAGCAATAACACACCCTGGCCAACCCAAGAATCAACTGGGAAGAACGCGGAGGCTCTCTCTCCACTCTGCACAGCACTCACAGTACCAGTGTACAGACCAGCCATGATGTCCAGCAACTTCGGGGGGATCCTGCAAAGTCTCAGGATGTCCCTCGAAGCAACTCAATCAACTGAGTCGAACGCTTTACGAAAATCAACAAAGGCTGCAAGGAACCTCTGCTGATATTTGCGCTTGTGCTTTATGAGAACCCTCAGTGCCAGGATATAGTCAATGATAGACTTCTTAGGTGTAAAACCAGACTGCTCCGGTTGCTGACAGGCAAGCAAGTGATCCCAGATCCCCTTAAGGATGACCCTAGCAAGGACCTTACCCGGCACTGAAAGCAGTGTTATCCGCCTGTAGTTGCTGCCATCCAGGCGATCACCGTTCCCTTTCCAGATAGGGACTACAAGTCCTGTTTTCCAGTCAGTTTGGATGATACCCGTCTCCCAAATGGAAGCAAAGATTGCCTGCAATGCCAGGACAGCCTTACTACCAGCCTTGAGAAGTTCACCCTGGATACCACAGATCCCTGTGGCCTTCCCTACCCCCAGCTGATTCACCACCCGTGCAATCTCAGTGAGATTGGGTGGTTCATAGCTGATTGGAGAATCAGCTTCGAGAACCATGGACCCAGAGATGTCCAACATCCTAGCTGGAGGGTCCGCTTTAAACAACTGCTCAAAGTAGTTGGAGCCACTTTAACCCCAGTTTCCAGACCCATGAGGACCAACACAATCATCTTAGCCAATTTATGCCCATTTAAGTGACATTTAAGCCAATCAGCATCAAACTAAGCTCAACATCTTCAACATCAGGTCCTGTCTAATCTTTCACACCTTTTTTCCATATAAAAATTTTTTATTAAAGAAAACAGGAACAGGGCAACAAAACAGACCGCGTAGGATCAAACAGAAGACACTACTAGCAAGAGGGAAAAGCATGCACACACAGACGCAAGCATGCAGGGGCAACATCAATGACCAGACTGGGGAACACAGAACTGAGAGGAGCAGACAAGGGGCAGGTGGAATGATCCACACAAGGGCTGAAATGAGAGGTACTGTAAGACAAATGAGCAACAGGGAGAGAATGAGGGAGCAGGAATACAGGGCGTAACAACAGAGAGAAAAAGACATGTCATCATTTACTATGCAGGGGACAGTTTCCTGTTATAAGATTTTTTATAAGAATTTTATAAGAATTTACAAACAATGTAGCATTAAGAAGGTTTTGGGAAACTCACCCCATCTTTATGCTACTGTATCTTCCATTGCCAAAAACCCTATGTGACATCAATTAACTTATTAGAAAACTCCTGAATTAGTTAACAGACAACATATCTTAGGTATATTAATTTCAGGCTTGCAGATGAGGGACAACTGGGGGGGCTGATGACAAAAATACTGGAAAAGCATTGCTGGATGAGGTTGGTGCGTGCATAGTTGGTGGCTCCTTGGTGGCTAGTTTTACTGGAAGAACAGGATTCCCAGCACTTTTTGGACAGGTGGGATGTTGGGGTTAAGCTGGCCACCTTTGATAAGTTCTGATGTAGCTTGTACTTGTCTTAACTGTGAGACATAATTCAGATTTCTGCCCTTGGGAAATTTGGGAATGCAGAGAAGGCAGGCAAGAATTTAAGCTCATGTGAATGATCACCTCAAATGGCTTGGCAGGTATGGCCTCTGAGTGGCGTAGAGGGCTCGCCTCAGCTAATTAATTCAAAGTCAGGATATAATTCCCTGAAGGCTGTAATGTGAGAAGCCTGCCTTGGCCCAGCCTGAACGTCAGAGGGTGCTGTGTTTGTTTAAGTGCCACCCGTTTAAAATAATTTATTAATGGCAGTCAGTTATGAATAACCTGAAACATAACTTCCATTGCTAAACCGAACCATTGACAGATGTGGATAGTTTTACAAAAGATTGTTGGGCTGGGGAAGGTGAGAAGGAGAGAGAGAGCGAGTTAGGGAGAGGTATATCCGTGTGGAGGAAGAGGGGAGATGAAGGGATTACCGTGGATCTGCTACACCAACCTGGCGCTTGAGCTGCTTTTGTGGTCTTAAACACATGCACGCAGTCTACCAGGAGGTGCGCAAACACGCCGAGTCTTTTACTGTTCTTGCGAAGCATCCGAGCCAGATTCACAAAACATCGTTAATGGTGCCAAACTGCGCTAGTCGACGGTGTTGTGCTGCGTGAGGAATCACCTGCCTGGTTTGTCCGCCGCGGAGCAATGAGGAGGCGAGTCGGCAGAGGTGACCCTGACAGCTCAGGAAACATCAGTGACAAGGTAAGATAAGTATTTAAATGAACTGCTACCATCTCGATTGAATTTTAAGGGTTTTACTTATTATATATACAGATCCCAACCTGGATTAAGCTGTGTAAGTGAAGACGTCATGATCGTGCTTAACTACATATTCAAAAGAGCTGCTTAGGACAAGTCAGTCTACATTTATGCTTGTTTTTATCATAATCATTGCTGCTAAGGTGCTACCAATCCCGCTTAAAATACAGAAGTTAGCTAACCTACATTAACCTTGGGAAACTAGCAGAAGTATAATACCCGGCTTATACCATTTATAAAAGTTATTTTAAAATAGTGGGAAGAATCACCCGCAGAGTATTTGTATAGGTTAATGTAAAAGTATTCAATACCACATTAATTGAAAGATCATTACGATACATAACACCTGCAGTAGCTAAATATAGTAATAATTAATTTGTTATTCGGCCGGTGCTTCTCTCTGTACCAACCATTCTGCGTCCCGGCGATTTATTGCTTTTTTGTAAATGTGAATAACCGTTTTACATAACCCTATGAACTATATACAGTGTTGCAATTTGCATTCATTATTTCTCCATCCACGGCATGTTGTATGCTGTTTCAATGTAATGAAAAGTTCAAAGGTTGTGTGTGCAGCGTCAAGTAATCCTGTATCAGTATCATTAGGCTACAGTAATAAACCTGACCGACGCTATGTGCGACTTTAACACCGATGGCGTTACTGTAAAAACAATCTGATAATATATGTACATATAGAATGCACTAATACTGATACACATGCCGTCGCTAAGTCTTGCTGTTGATTTAGCAATCCAAGCCGGTGACAGGATATTGAAATGCTGCAGGATCTGTCTGACGAGAGGCTTTCAGAGGACGCCTGGAAAAAAGACACAGCTTTAAAGAAATTTATCATCTTCTAATCCTATTGTCTGGCAGCAAATGCCGGACACATTCAGGCTGCCCAATGCGTAACGTGATGTCTTTTCATTGTGACAACGAAACAATGACGTCAGCTTTCACGATATTTGTACTCTTATTAAAAGCAGTTTTACCAGCGTTACTGGTGTGCCCTGCATACTTTATATGAAACATAATTTGTCTGAAACGTCTGAACTTTTTGTCGTAGTCTGACTTTAATATTAGATATGTGAAGTGCACATTCATTTGACCTTGGATACGTATTACAGTAACTGGGAAAAAAAACAACTTGAAGTAGTAATATAAACCATACAAATATAAATATTAAAGATCACCTCCTAAATGAATAATACTGCTAAATAATTTCTTAACGCATGATAACCTCTGTTTAATTGCAGCTCTATTAGGTTAGTGACTTTTTCAGCCCCGTAAATTATAACTCAGGTATTCATTTCTCGTACATTTCATATTTTAGAATTCTTTCTTTATGTAGCTAGCATTATATGGCACAGATCGGCATTTTATGTTCTTCTTTTAATCGGATGTGTGACAGGTGCTGTTTGGAGTAGGTGGGGTGAGTTCAGGGTTCGTTTGAAATCCTAAACCATTTTCAAATGTTCTTTGTATTACAAAGATACGTTTTTACTAAGTGAGTGCGGTGTCAACCGGGTTTAAAAACCGGAATTCCTTCCCCTAACTTATTCAATAGTTCGTTTTAAACATTTTCTGACTTTATGCAATACATACTTTTAAGAAAAAAATCACTGATTGTCTTATGGCAGAAATGTTCAAATACATTTGTGGAATATACTCTAATATGTAGGAAATTCGTGTAGTTGATTTAGGAAGCATAATTCCTGTAGCTCTATACCTATAGGAAAGCAATTGAGCAATCAATATATTTGTAAAATATACATACAATATAGTGGTAGTTCATTTTTGCAGAGATTCATCTCAGGTTTATAGTGGAATTATGTGATTGTCTTTTATTGCTCTGAAATTCCAACCAATCAACTACAGCAACCTTGCTGCTTGATATCAGCATTATGGATTTTCATGAAAATACATCTTACAATACAGAAGACACCATGTTTGTATGGGTGTCTGCTGTACAACTCAGAGTCTTAATTAAAGGTCTCTGATAGATTAGGGTGTAAAGAGAGACTAATCTTCCAATTCCCACTGGTTCTTTCTGATGATAATTTGGGTTTTCAGGTGCACGGATGGATCAGTATTGTGTGCTAGCCTTTACCTGTTCTTAAAGTATTAAAGTATTAAATTAGTATTAAAGTAGTCTCAAGAATCATACACCCTTTTACCTTTTACTGTTTACCTTTTTTTCAGCTTGAAGGAGGGCCTTCTTAAGCAAGGTTACATTTTAATGTTGTTTTTAAGCCATTCCCACTTGTATATAGGACCTGCTCATGGTGTTCACTATTCTATGGTATGATAGTCAAATCTATGGTATGATAACTAAACTAGAAAATTATCAATTTAGTCACTTGCTTGGTTTATTTCTCCCATGAATGAAAGCAGCCACATGAAAAGCGTACACCCTGCAGTGTGCTGTCCCGCAAACATGTGGACAGGTTGCAGAAGTGAGACAGACCTGGTGTGAAATTCCATACTCACTCTTCTTTTGGAATTGAGTCTGTGTCTTTTGTCATTTAACTGCCCCCTGCTTTACTCTGTTATGCACTTTGTTCCTTGTGGTGTGTGTGTGGGGGGGGGGCATTTCCAGCAATTTTGGTTTGTTTATTTGTTTGGTTTGTGCTGTAATGCAGTAGGTCATACTAGGAAAGCTGAAGGAGAAAGTCTTATAAGAGGAAGTGTTATGGTGACTAATGTTTCATTACAGGGTCAACCGTTCACCATAATGAACATTTGATAGTTTATTTTTTTACTTGTATTTGTTTTTATTTACTGTATTTGATAGTTTGTGTTTGCTTTGGATTAATATATTTTAGTGTCATAATTACTAGAGTAATAATTGAACACCAACAACAAGAGTGGTTGATAACCGGCTCAGCAGCTCAACAGCCGTTGTCTTGCATGACTAAGGTTGGTGGTTGAAATCTTGCTTTGGCTCTGTGTCTGTTTTGATCATTAGATTACAGAAGATGTTCATTATGTTACATTCTAATGGTGTAATAAACAGCTTTGCTCTTATAGGTCAGCATTCCATATGCTTTAGTGTTTGTGAGTATAAGAACATAACAAACGAGAGGAGACCATTCAGCCTTGTTTGGGGGGAATTCAACTAATAGCTCAGAGTTGTTAAAATCTTATCTATCTCTGATTTAAAGGAGCCCAGGGTTTTAGTTTGCA